CTCCTCATCTTAGAAATTCAAACAGAAATGAAGCTTAGTTCGGTCCACAAATATGACCATAAATTTGGGTCACATATTGAAGATCAAATTCGCTATAATAAAAATGGTTTCTTTCGACGACTTCATGACAAGGTGTTAAAATCTTCTACTGTAACTTTTTTAAAAAGTTAATTTCATACCAAAGCAAATCAGTAAAGCCAGTGTGTGGAAGAATTAGAAATGAGAAACTTTACTAAGGAGCAAGAACAAAAGAAGAATAACCAGGAAGGCAGTTGATAACGATTGACACTGCATTTAAGATTAAAGATTTGAAGATTAAAGTTGGCTGGAAAGTATGGGGCCGGAAGGGAGTTTCACATGCGAGAAGCGCAAGAACTTCCGGTTACATCTAGCCAACACAACTGTAAATTGGTAAAACCTTCTCGGCAGTGTAGTACTGTGGATAAATTTTAAAAAATCTAGGTAGCATCCGAAGAGTTGCCATAGAAGTACCGTAATTCCCTATGTATAATGCGACTTCATCCATAATACGCACACCTAAAATTGTGCTGAAAGTATGGGAAAAGGATTCTACTCAAACATAATATGCAACCCTTGTTTGTTAATCAAACCCTATAAATTGTACCTCTCCAATTTCATTACGACCAGCGTTTCCTACTCTTATTTTAAAAAAATGGTGTTAGAATAACATTGTTCTAATTTAGTTTTATGATAATTCTTATTTTATTTTACGGCAAATTTTTAAAGATTTTTTGTAGCTGTGCATAATACGCACCCCTGATTTTGCTTATGTTTTAGAAAAAAAATGCGCATTATACATGTGGAATTACGGTATTTACAGAAAAGGCACAGGGAGTTAACTTTGACAACACATATCTGGTTTAATATTTTGAATACGAAAAACACTGACAATTGATAACTTGATAGTAGCTCTTTTTATTTATACAAAGGGCTTTTTTTTAAATTTTTTAAAATGTCTTAATCGTTTTTTTTTGTTGTTGCTCCTTCAGTGGCTCATTTCCACTACAACCAATTATCGTCATGGTGTGCATTTCTTGTTTCATCTGTAACTCCCAGCGCCGAAACACGCAATATTTTCTTTTACTTTTTTTTTTTTTTTTTTTTTTTTTTTTTTAAATATCTATTGTTTTATTCTGATAATGGTATTAATAACAATTTAAAAAAAAAATTTGTTGATGTAATTACCATGCGTCATTCTCCATATTGTGGCTGACAGTAATAGTTACAGTAGTGTTGTTGGTGATGGTGCCGGTAACGGTAGTAGTAGTGGTAGTGGTAGTAGTGGAAGTGTCAAAACATTGTCTCTTGTTTTTGTTAATGACTTTCCAGAATGTAGAAAGTGCTTCAATAATTATAAAATAAGATTTTAAAAAAGGAAAAACACACATAAGAGTTTAAAAAGACAGATTATTCGTTCGCACTCACACTTTCTTTCTTTCTTTCTTTTTTTCTTTCTTTCTTTCTTTCTTTCTTTCTTTTTTTCTTTTTTTTTTTTTTTTTTTTTTTCTTTCTTTCTTTCTTTCTTTCTTTTTTTCTTTTTTTTTTTTTTTTTCTTTCTTTCTTTCCCCATGTTCTCATTCTTTCTCTTTTTTACCTTCTTTTTTTTATTTATTCACTCGGTTATCTTGGTCCATCGTTTTTAATGCTTTCTTTCTTGCTTTCTTTCTTGCTTTCTTTCTTTCTTTTGCTCAATTTTCTTAATCTTCTTTTCCTTCTTTTTATTTATTCACTCGGTTTTCATTGTTCATTTATTCATTCATTCATTGTTTGCTTTTTGTTTGTTTGTGTTTTTCTTTCTTTCTTTGTTTTTTTTTTTGATACACCATTTTTTCTTATTTTTTCTTTCCTTCTTTTTATTTATTAACTCAGTTATCTTTGCTCATTCTTTCTTTCTTTTTGTCTGTCTGTCTTTCTTTTCAGTTAATTTTTTTGCTCTAACACGCCCTCACATATACACAGAGAGGCAGGCATTTTTCATTAACTGGATCCTTAATTCGTTTGGGACAGTTTTAAGTTAGCTTACTTCATATTTGAAATGCTCTTCGTACTTGTAAAATTCGCGATAACCAACACTCAGAAAAGAAGAAAACACGTCCACTATGTAGTAAGTATAGTAAGTACCAACTGTTTATCTACTTACACTTATTACCATCCCTATTTCGGTTCGTCATGATTAAATTATTTTCTCTAATCATTCTTATAATCTACATTGGATATAAAGAAAGTAATACGTTTTTTTTTCTTAATGCGGGTAGATAAATGGTCCATCATCTCATTTCATCCGAGCACACTGCAAATCTGTAGCCCAAGCGGAAGATTAACAATCCTAGAGTTGAAAGTCCATATAAGAATAAAATATATGCAGCATACTTACCAACAAACTATACATCTTTTATCTAACATTAAAAATAAGGGATTCTTCGCTTTCTGAAGCCAAAATATCGTAACATTTTTCATGGAGTGTGTGTTAGATGTCGTAGATTCTGGTGGACCTCTTAAGATATTTATAAAATAATTCAATGTGAGAAATATTTGTTTAATTAAAATTTCTAATTGTTCTAATATTTTCAGATATAATTAGTGTGTCAGTGGATTAATAAACTCCCAAGAGGATGTTTCCCAGTTCACTACAATCTTAACCAGTTTAAATCAAGTATTAATCATTATCTTCCCCTTCCTTTCCATATAAACTACCTCTTAACGTAACCCGCTACCTCGAGTACCCTCTTGTACAGGGTGAACCTTACAGTAAAAAAACAAAAAAACAAAAAAAAACAAACTATTACATTATTATGTGACCTTTTCTGGTACGGCAAGATGATTAATCCGACAAGATGATTAATCCCGCACATTCATTAAAGTAGATACCGGAAAAATCGTTGGTCGACATATATCTCAAACTGTGAATATTTGTTAACCCTTTTTATATACCTTATAGAAATGTCCTTATATCTTCCGTCTCTTGTTGGTTGTACGAAGTCAACTAAGGAGACAGGCTTGAAACTTCATAATCCTTCTAAATATGACGCAGTTCATTTGCAAATCTATTTTTTTAATCATAAGCATATGATTGGTTCGAGACGGTATCTTTAATTCGGACGATATAATCACTGAAAAGGAATTATGTCTTGGCCAGATAAGCAACCATGGATTGTAGAATATTCGAATTAAGGCCTCTCGTTACTATTTAATATAATGCCAGTTCTTTTCGAGGATTGGGATTTATTGAATTAAGAACAAAGAAAACTACCAAAATTGTCTTTATATGTAAATAGAAGGCATTGAAGCTGATTGGTTCGTCTTCTACGGCTTATCAACACTTTGCATGTTATTTAAAGCCAGAAAACATTTTAAAGGATTTTTTGGATATAATAGTACAATTATTACTAATTAACCAATAGCTAGGGGAGAAGAGTTGGGTTTATAGCTTTCCAAAGAGTATTTGAGCGTAAATGAATAAAACGAACCCAAATAGAATTGGAACTTGTCGTTCCGGTTAAAAATTCTGAGCCTTTATCCATTAAACCAGCCGCATTGCCAAGCTTACAGAGCCTGGTATTCTCAAGGCATCCATACCAGGCTCGACGTTGCTTAACTTCGGTGATCGTACGGGAACCGATGTTTCAACGTGATATGGCTGTAAGTCTTTGAATCTTATGTTCGATGAGGGAAATATCAGATGGCCTAATCGACGAGAATTTGAATTTATGGCTATCTACTCTGTTTTCTTTTTCTAATCACAATAATAGCGAAATAAAGAAACTAAAATTATCCGTTTCCATACAGAAAACATTCGACATTCATTGATCGAACAGTTTGGATAACTTCAGCTGAAATTTATGAAGTTTTTCTATTAAAATATTTTTTCAGGAAATTATACATCTCATTTCCACTAAATGTTATAACTCTTTCTAGTATTGATAGGAGTTTCCTTCTAGACTTCCAGATATAACCAACCTGTTAATTTTCAGAAGTTAACAGGTTGGTTATATTATTATTTTCTCTTTTAGTCATATGTGCTAAGCATTTTTGTTGCTGATGCTGGAAGTATTCAAGTGTTGCGGTTTTTGTTATTTTGTAAAGCTCTTTCTAATATTGTAGTGCCAGCCTAAAGGGTCTGATGAAATGGCGTCTTCTTTATGAAGCGTAGGCAGAGGATCAGAATTTCAATATATCCTGTTAGTTTCTTTTACTGGATGACAATTGCTTCACTTTCTAACGAGATTTTAAACGTCCAATCAGAATCTGTGAATTTAAAAAAAATATCCAGACATTCATTTTCTTTTAATCAACATCTTTCCATTTTGTATTTAGGGTCATTTTGCGTCTTTTTAATTGAGTATTATCATTTTAATTCTGTTTCACCTCTTCTCCCTGTTCTCATTATCCCCTTGTTTAAAATGGCTGCTCAGAAAGGAAGGAGGCGTCTTCTGTTGCACTTCGATCGTTTCAAATGAATCAGTTTCGCGGGCTACTGATAGTACTTTCGAATTTTCTACGGTTGTAGTTGTTCGATTTGTTTAGTAAATTAGACTAGCGTTTATTTTTATTTATTTCAATCAATATTTTTATTTATTTCAATGTAAATCCAAGTAAAGATTTATTTAGCCGCCTGTCGTAGTGCAAATGGTTAGTACACTGGATAATATAAACAGATCCTTTAGGTAATTTATTTTTTCACTATTTTCTTCTATGTTGTCATATTATTCTAAAATTAGACAAAGAAATATTTACAGTAAGTAAGACAAGTATCCCTGTCTCTCTCATTTCCCTCTCTCTCTCTCTCATTTCAATCTCTCTCTCACATTTCACTCTCTTTTTCTTATTTTTCTCTCTCTCGCACTCTATCTTTCTCTCTCTCTCATTTCACTCTTTTTTCTTGCTTGTTTTGTTTTCTCTCCCTTTTTCTTTCATTCAAAACCCAGATTCGCTCAACCTCATCCACACACTCATTTTCACACCATCACTCGAAGGACGACTCACATTGAAAGAAAATCAATGTACGTTTCTCGGCGGGTATGGCTCGTATGATCGTAACCGACCACTTTGATTTCTGTCCCACCGAAGGTTACTTCAAGGTCCACGGCACGGCTTTTATCCCCAGTTAGGTCAGGCATTTCGACCACCAGGCACCCACACTTCTCCACATTCTCCTCGTCCACGTATTTCACGTTCCGTTTAAGAGATTTGAAAAATTCGAACATGATTCCTCGCTGGTTTGTTATAATTGGCGTGTAAGTCTCACGCCAGACCTCGTTGATCCCAATCACTTCGCCAGCCTCGGCCCACACTTGAAATATGTTCTTGCAAAGCACCATATCTTCAGACACCACTTTCAGGTCTTCACGATGGCTTCCTTCTTCAAATGGCAAATACGATCCAACGCCGTACGTGTAGCGACAGATTCGCTGGCAGATGGTGCTTGGGTCATGGCCAAATGCAACTGCTCCACGGACCACTGCCAGACTTGCCTCTTCCGGAATTAAAACAGTGACACGATCACCAAACTGATCCTTGATCGACCGTTGCAGTCGCACCGACTCGGCGAAACCGCCGACCAGAAAGATATACTTTGTGTCCTTCAGTTTAGTACGCTGCAACAGGGACTCAACGTGATCGTTAATCTGCTGGTGGGCATCTTTGAAAAGCGAATTGACCTTGTCCGGCGATAGGACCAACTTGCCGCCGGAGAATTTCACCTCGTTGTTCGACTCGGCTGCGTATGCCTTGATCACTTCTTGGACGCTTTTGCCGTCGAATTTAAAATGACAGAAGTTATAAGGTAACGATACTCGGATGCTCTCGCCTTCCCCACGTTTTTTAACCTCGAAATCCTGCAGAAGTTCTACGTAATCTTTCGGGTGCTGCGTCTGGAAGTCGTTCATGAACTCTTCGCCAAAAATGATTACCATTAGGTTGAGAAACTGTCTGTCGATCACTGTTCCACCCCAGGCGCCTCCTGTGGCACGGAACAACTCTCGAATGCGGCCGTCTTTGCGTACCTTGTGAGCTACGACATCTATAGTACCACCTGTAAGACAGAAAAAAAGAAAAATGTATTAAACAAAATCGGAAAGTTATTTCTACTGAAATGTTTACATACTGAGGGTTTTACATCGGATGCGTCAAAGGTGATGATCCAGCTGGGCATTTTATAATGATTCTTACTTATATATATATATATATATATATATATATATATATATATAGAGAAAACACGCACACACAAATATATATATATATATATATATATATATAAATAGACACACGCACACACATACACACACACAGACACACACACACACATATATATATATATATATATATATATATATATATATATATATATATATATATATATATATTTTCATTTTTACATATTGAAATTTTTATATCAGATGCGTCAAAGATAAAGGCCCAGATTTTAAAGGCTGTCCTTGTGATATATATATATATATTTCATATTTACATATTGAAATTTTTATATCAGATGCGTCAATGATAAAGGCCCAGATTATAAAGGCTGTCCTTCTGATATATATATATATATATATATATATATATATATATATATATATATATATATATATATTGTTGATTTGTTCAGTGAATTATGGTCCATCTAAACACACTCTGGATAAGTAGGAGGAAGTGTGAAATGTAAAAACATGTATTTTAGGCCTATATGCTAACTCATAATCCCAGCCATTGAATTACAGTGGTGTATTTTTTGTGGGTGCATCATGTTTCCGGAAGTTTGAATTCATAGTTTGTTCTTCGTCGATAAGCAGAAACACAAGACAAAGAGGATAAAATTGAAAATTAGTCCGTATAAAAGTAATCCAACAGCCAGTGGTAACATTAATCCCAATATTATATATATATAATGTTATCCACATACAGACCTGTTTCGCTGTATCACAGCTCGTCAGTGCGGCTAGACATCCGATTGCTTCAAGCAGGGATCGATCAGTCAGAGTGACTACCTTGAGCTATCAGCACACAGCAGAGGGATAGGGAAATTCCAGCATATTATTTTTACGAATCTAAACAAACGCCAGACACCCGTAGTACTCAATTCATTTAATGAAAAGCGTTGCGTTAGCGGAGACGGCTGCTGTTTAGAATTACTCTTTTCCTCAACAGTGCTCAACTGAAATTATCGAGAGCATAATATATATATATATATATATATATATATATATGTAAAATGTGTATGTATATATATATATATATATATATATATATATATATATATGCAATTTTTTTATATATATTATTTATATATTATATGTACACGGTACTTATTGGAAAGCGCATATTTAGTTGGATTGATGTGAGTTTGTGACCCTGGGTTTCATGCTATTTGTGATCGTCAGACAAACTGATTAATTTTTAAATTTTGGATTTATATATGGTTGCGTATTTCGGTGTTTTTATGGTAGTAAGAGGAAAAATGACAGCGGAACGCCACTCAAACTTACGCAAACATACATACACGCTCGTTCATTCATTGACGTATGCAGACATACATGCACGCACGCCTACTCATTGGAGCTCGCACAAACATAAACATATGTAAACAGTGTAAGACGAGGCATATATGCGCAATCATGTGTCGTTGCGCACATACGTTCGCATTTGGTTGTTGTATTCAATGTTGGATTGTGTAGCGAATATCTTTCGTCTTTTTCGGTGTCAACGCGCATACTGTTCGTCTATTTTGTTCGCTGAATAATGTTTTCTCGCATACACAGATATACATATGATGGGGTCTGTGTAAGGCTATGGTAGGTAAAAATTACTATTATTTTTAATTTTTTGACACTAACATTCGGCGATTGCTACCCTATAAGGATGTCAAATACAATCATATCTACCTTACAATAATTAGAAATGTAAAGTAAAATAAGAATTATCATAAAACTAAATTAGAATAATATTATTCTATGTTTAAAATAATTTTTTTAATAAGAGTAGGAAACGCTGGCCATAATGAAATTGGAGAGGTACAATTTATAGGGTTTGATTGCAAAACAAGGCGTGCGTATTATTTATGCGTGAGTAGAAGCATTTTCCCACCCTTTTAGCATAATTTTAAGGGTGCGTATTATGGATGAAGGCGTATTATACATGGGGAAATTCTATAATTGTTCTATTATATCATTAGAGATTCTTGTTAACTTCTTATTATGAATAATTTATAAATTAATCTTTAGCATAGATATGGACACATAGGAAAAATTGACAATATATATTTTGTGTTCGGTACTATTCGCGGTTTTTATCCGTGAGGAAAATTGAACCATATTCCTCACGGATAGGATTTTATTAATGTACATAGTTGAAACAAATACTGCCGTATCACTTTCTTTGATCTTTGTTACGACAAGTGGTTTTATTAGTTGCATTAATTCAATTACATTCAACTTAACTCATCGCTATGCGAGTTGTCTGATTAAAACAGTCACAAAATATTAGATCGACAGATGGAAGTTCTACGTTTATAAAAGGGGAAAAATGCTCAATCGATATTTATGAACTTTGAAGAAAAGAGATTTTTCAATTTTCTATCGAAGACGAGAGGGGAAAAATAAACTTGAGAAGTACATCGACGAACGGCAAAAGCAACGAACTAGCAACCGAAAATAATGGATTCGCTCAATAAGGACTTTTTTTCTATTTGCGAATTGATACCTGGTTGATGGGACCTAATTACGCGGTCAGAACCAGGTAATTTTTCGTGGTGTTTCTCAAAGAAAGGGAGTGGTAAAACAAGTGAAGACAAGAAGAAAGAATAAGGTGGGAGAGAAGGAAACAAAAATAAATATGGCCCAATAAACGGAGATAACTACTTTCATTAAATTCTCTTTATGCAATACGTGATACCACCTTTAGTCGAGCAGGATGAAACTTTCATTCATTTTAATTATATATATACATATAAAAGTGGAGATCGACACAGAGAGGTGACAGCGTGTTTCATGCTTAAACGCAATCTTCAAGCCATTTTATAATTACATACGTTCCACCCCTGATATTGATCCCTTTTATCCATAAATATAGCATTCCATAAAAGTATAATGTTATCCTATATATATATATATATATATATATATATTGTGGACATTAGTGTCAACACCCAACGGTAACTGTTTGCCTCATCCTTAGCGCAATCTTCAGGCCATCTTCAGACCAGATGACCTGATGATTGCATTGATCGCTTCTATATCTACATACACTCTATTAATGATATTGAGCACTTTGGCACATAAATATGCATACCTTAAAACTATATTTTTATCACACACACACACACACACACACACACACACACACACACACACACACACACACATATATATATATATATATAATATGACAATAATGTATAACAATAAAATATATTAAAATAATTGACTAAATCCATTTCGTAGTGTGTGACGTCATTTGTTTACGTTAAAATACGCTTCGAGCAGTTATGGACTTTCGAGGAAGATCATGGGAAGTTTGTAGTTTAAACACAGTAAAATCGACCGTACTAACCAGATGCTCCTTTGTAGCTAAACTGGTATAGCATGTCAGGCTATATGACGATTCTGTGTAGGGTGCAGGTTCTATCCCTGTCGGGGGATGCATACTTTCTATGAATTTTTCGTACATTCAGGCTTGTAAATGCTGTTAATAATATTTTTTATAAACTGATTTATTTATTTGAATATTTGTGTCTATATAAATAACGTATAACAATAAAATATATTAATATATATTCAAACATATTAATATATATTCAAACATATATTGTTAAATATAACAGAAAACGAATGTTTATTATGTTTGATCATGAGCCGTTCTAAGCTTCGTATATTGGATTTAGTTTCGGGAGAAAATAAAGACAAAACTATCCAACATTTGGATATTTTTTATTTATGCTTTTCCTCGATCTAAGCTTTCGCCTCACATGGGCTATCATCAGAGTGGTTATATGGACATTACAACAGATGTGTTCACCATCAAAGAGGACATCCTGTTATGTTTACACAGAAGTTTGCTATGCGACGATAACGGTCGAGGAATAACAGACGCAGATCGTAAATTCATAATGACGTCATACATGACTCCGCGAGAGAAAGAAATGAAGAACAGAACTTTAAATGCATTGTAATGTAATGTTTTGTTTTAATGTAGATGGCCTCCTATATCTTAAGTTTCTTTTTACTTGTGTATGTGTGAGGATTGCTATGTTATCAACTAATATCTGTCTAATATTATGTACTTGGCTGTGTTTTTCTAAGAAATGTTGTTCAATGTAATTAAGATCAGAAAGGTGACGTAAGTCTACGGGAGATATATAAAAGTGGACAACTACCAGTAATGACATAGTCTTTCACGCGTAATCGCAATATTCAGGACATCATCAGTTCATCTGGTTTGAAGACAGCGTTTAAGCATGAAACAGACTGTAATCGCTGGGTGTTGCCCCTAATGTTAAGCTCTTTAACACATAAATATACATATATTAGAACTATATTTTTATCATATATATATATATATATATATATATGTGTGTGTGTGTGTGTGCGTGCGTGTGTGTGTGTGTATTTAGGCAGTAAATTCTCTTTTAGGCGTGTCTGATTAAATAAATCACAAACATTATGTCCGCTTATTTTTAGCATAATCTTTTCATATTCACGGATATTTTTCCATGTATTACATTCAATCAAATGAGGCAAGAAATGCACTGTAATGTTGGTTTATATTCTCAGTAAGGTTTGCCTTAAGTTCTAACAACTGAAAAGCCATTTATTATTGATTTTCAAAATATTAAATACTTTGCAACTTTCAGCTAGCATAAAATATTTAGAGGACTGTCATTACAACTAAAAGAAAAGCAAGAAGAAAGGAGTAATCATCAATTGTGAGAATTCAGAATTCATGGTCGTCAACAAAAGGAACAAACCAACATTCAAATTACGAATGGGAGGGACCAAAATCAAACAATTACAACCAACAATTTAAACACCTGGGAAGTGTTTTAACAGGCGACGGAAAGTGCGACACTGAAATCCAGAGGTGCATGGAGATAGTGAAGCATGCCTTTCAAAATCTAAGCAAAGTATTAAGAAACAGAAAAAAATGTTAGAAACAAAGAGTACTGAACTGTTATCTATTCAGTCCTCCTATATGGAGTGAAATTTTGACAATTTTTTCAAAGATGAAGAGAGTTGAAGCCAGAGAAATGTGCTTCTACAGAAGAATGCTGAGAATATTATGGAGCGAACATGTGGGCAATAACGAACTTTTAGAAAAAATGTATACAAAAATGATACTTATACTATCTCAGGAAGAGATAGTTGAAATTTCTAGGACACATAATGAGGAGAGTAGGCTTGGAAAATTTGACACTCCCAAAACAGATCGAAAGCAAGAGGGATAGTGGGAAACGATGCATAGCGTATCTAGTGAGCTTGAGTAAATGGATGACGGAATTATGTTTAATAGAGATAACAAAAGGGAATTTTTAAAGCGCTACAAAGGACAAGAAATTGTGGAGAATCATGATCGCCAACGTCCTGAAGAAACACGGCACATAAAAGAAGAAAAATCTTGACTTAATTACTGAACGTAAAACAACCAGTTTCTTTTTTTATTTTCAATGTATTGCTATTGCAGAATGATTGTCATTGTTCTCTATTTACACCATTAGCAATGCATTTAAATGATACGCATAACAGCTTCATATGATCAATAAAGCCTTTATTAATTCTAACAATCGAATTTTCTTCATTTTCATTGCACAGAAATCATAATGCCGAAATTTACTACAACAAATTTTGGGTAAAACATTTAAATATTCCCCGTTAAATAACAAAAAATCGTTCCCTCTAAATTGGAATATTTGCCTTTTCAGAGAGAAAACGAATAAAATTCCGCTGAGGTGGAGGAGCGGTAAATTCAATGAGCAGTGATACAAAAAGCTAAACGTCGCTGTCAAATAACCTCTGTCTTAAAATATAATTGTGATTATTTCATCTTTCGCACTACAGTCACATTTTGCCGCATACAATCAGTAGAGCGAATGAAAATTTATTTTTATTTATTTGATAAATACTACCTGTGATATGTCAATAAGAAACTTTTGTTCTAAGAGGAGTTGATCTGTGGTGACCCCAAAATGTACTGGGTTCACCCAAAGAGATGCACCAAAAGTTACTTTGCACTCATTGTCACACATTAGAACATCAGTGGAGTAAGGATAGTTAGTAAGGATTGGTGATAAACTGAAATAGCTCGGTCGCATATTAATCAGAGGGGATCTTTCAAAGACACCTTTCGATCTGGTTAACCAAATTCGGTAAATGTTGAGAATCTACAAAATGTAGTTCAGGAAAATCCTAAGCAAATTGCACGAGAATTAGCAAAACAGTTCAATGCATAAAACATCTTCATGAACTCGTGTCTAACTTTAGTCAATGGGTCCTTCGTAATCTGACTGCTTCTCGGATTAATCCAAAAAATCATTGTTGCTCATCATTGACTTGCTACGGAACCTTTTCTGGGCAGATTGCTTGATTTGTTTTTATGGCTTATCAACCTTTTGCAGATTATTTAAATCCAATGTTTAATGTTAATAAGGAACTTTTGTTCTATGAGGAGTTGATCTGTGGTGACCTTCAATATGCACTGGGTTCAGCCTAACAGATACCAAAACAGGTTTTATTCTTAGTGTCATATCAGAACATCAGACGAACCAGATGCATCAGTTTTTGACCTGGAAAGTAACCTCATAGCCACCAGGAGTATAATCAGGCCTCAAAATATGTCTGTGGCTGACTCAACAAAATTGACTGGAAAACAAAAAGTCGGAAGAGTTCCACCAGTGATAAGTGCGAGAGACGAAACAGTATAGAACGTACGCTTACATCTTGCTATTTCAACTGTAAAACGATGACACCTTGTCGTCAATCTAGTACTGCACTTAAATTCATAAAGTCTAGGTACCAAAGACGAAAGTTCAAAACAATTAATTATAGAAAAGTCACAGAGTCGACTTGTGGTTCACGCTAGGAAATACCAGATGGTCTGAATCGAATTTAATTTCAATAAGGAACCGCTATTCTAAGAGGAGTTGATTTGTGGTGACCCTAATATGTAATAGGTTCACCCCCTAAGAGATAACAAAATAAACTTTGCACTCATTGTCACACAGAACATCAGTGGAGTAAGGATAGTTAGTTAGAACAGGCGATGAACTGAAATAACCTGGTTGTATATTAATCAGAGGGAATCTTTCTTCAAAGATACCTTTCGATTTGGATGAATAAGTTCGGTCAATATTGATAATCTGTAAACTGTAGTTCAGAAAATCCTAAACAAACTGTACGAGAATTAGCAGAACAGTTCAATACACCTTGTGAATATGGAAAAGTGTCTGACTTTAGTTAATGGATCTCTTGTAATCTGACTGCTTCTCGGATTAATCAAAATTCTGGGTAGATTGATTTTTTTACTTGTTATCAATATTTGCAGCCAGATTTTTTTTAAATTGTAAGACTTTTCGGAGATAATAATGATTTTTACTGAAAGATGTTCTATTAATTCTACTAATCAAATTCTAATCTAATTTTACTATTTCTACTAATCCAGCTCTTCTATCGTCAAAGCTTGGGATAGAACAGTTGGATTCATAGATTTCCCAAGAGTGTTTGCGCGTAAGTAAATGTAACGAACCTGATTGGAATTGGAACTTGACTCTCCGATTTCCAGTTCCTAGCCATTAACCATTACACCACCCGTACATCTAAGCTTGCAGCAAGTGCTATTCCCAAGCGGTCACCCATTTAGGTACTGACCATGCTCGACGTTGTTTAACTTCGGTTATCGTACGGGAAACGGTATTTCACCGTCATATGGCCAAAAGCCTTTGCTGGGTAGAATCATAACCGGTGGGTTCTGCTTAACCATAGTAGATAAAATTGACGATGGTTAGCAACAACTGAATGAGGAAAATTCATTCCAAAACCAGGACTACAACCAAAAGGTTGCGCACTGTGTTTGGTGGGATAAGAAAAATGTTGGCTTTTTTTTTGTGGGCACATGTAAAATAAAATAAGAAAATTAGAGTCACCCCCAAGGAAGATATATTTTTTCGTTTCTAACAGAAAAAAATCAATGTTTTGAATATTTTGTGACATAAAACTTACCTCCGGCGTCGACAACTAGATATTTAGTCCCTGGTTCAAATGTAGGTTTGTTCCCTTCCGGTTGGGAACAACCAACAAATGTGCTTCCGGGCAATTTCCGGCAGTGGAGTGAGGCAGCTTCCGGTTCCAAGGCTATCAACAACTGGTCACTTTGTTTACTAGTGATTAGGCCACCCTGTAGAAAAAGGAATGCAAGTAAGTGTTTGGAAAGGTAAGAGATCAGAAGAGAGAGAGAGAGAGAGAGAGACAGACAGACAGACAGACAGACAGACAGACAGAGAGAGAGAGTATATTTATCAATTAAGTTACATTTTTGTTTAATATCTCATTGTTATAACTTTGTGTGATTAGGACAAAAATATTACATTTGTTAGAAGTACAATGTTTAGAGAAGTAAATATAATATTATCCCTGTAATCCCAGGCAACTCATTCTGGGATTAATATTAAATCTGAGACTTTTATTCTATTCAAGATTTACGGTTTGTTTATGCATGGACGTTGCTTGATAGATCTTAGTTTGTCATGCTCGGATGCTGGAAGCTTCTGTTGTCTATTAGTGGTAGTTGATACTGCAAGAGACACAAGCTCTCTTTTGAGCCGCCTCTCTGTTCTGTAAGCCAGAGACCTGTTCGCTGCTGAAGAGTCGCTTTGGAAAATAGCCCATCATATTCGATAATACAGATGAGCCTTTGCAGCATTGCTTCAATGCTTGTGGTGCTTTCAGTGTCAAGTACTTCAAAGCTGTGATAAAGTAATTCCGATGAGTACATCGCAGAAGAAATATTGATAAAAGCATTATTTATTTATACAAAGGTCACCCAACACAAGTCTTGATAGTCACTGAAGAGGGCTACAAGTAAAATGATAATCGTGAATGAGGAGGATGATATGAGTGAAAGGAGCTGTAAGGAAGTGAAGATTATAAAAAGGGTTAAAATTGTAGGAAGCATCCGTGGGAAAATCTGTTTCAGAAAATATCAGTTCTTGGGGAAAAGCTTTCTAAGCGAAACTTTCTCTTTACATCCGATATACGAGTGAAATGGCAGTGATTCGAATCCGTGGATGTAGCATGGTGTATCCTAGCTGTAAATGTCTGAACTGGTCAAATTGAAATGGTATAAGAGGAAACATTTTTATATCAGTCAAAATACGGTTTCACAAAGAGTAGACAGAATCCCGAGTTACATACAAATGTACCTTCCTTGCTTTCTCTATACGTTCCATCAGAGTTGTTCAATTTAGAAATCACAATCTCTTGAAATACGTTTTATCTGAAACCAATAATTATTGCACAAATTCATTTAATGTATTTCAGTATGATTTTTAAGTTGTTACACTTCACGTCTTTGTCGAATTTGGTTTTCATTTTGAACTGAGTGTGCAAAATTGATTCGTCTGGTCAACGGTGATCAGTTCCCATCAAAAACCTCGATTGCACTTTAAAGAATTCATCTGTGGTTAATACCGAGGCGCCACAAGTTGTTTCGAGAAGTGTTGAAAATACTTTGTGTTACAATCCAGATAGAAATGTCTATTTATTGGGTTGGTGCATAATTATCAGGCGTTTTTGTAAACGAGTTATCTGTTAATAAAAAATGCTGTTTTGTTTACTTTTATTAATGAAAATGTTATTTTATTTTCAGGTTATGAAAATGCGTGTCGATAATCATACGATCCGGAATAATCATTTAAAAATGTTATTGTTGAATTGTGAAGTTTCTTTTTTCATAAATAATGTTTAAAAAAATGCTTGATAATTATGCACCAACCCAATACAATGTTAAGTCTGGAGCAATGTAATAATTTCAAAGAACTTTCAGAGATTACAATGTTAATGGATTCTAATTCCGCCATACTGGTAATATTTTTTTCTATGAAAATGTTTATTGCTGCTATTTTTTTTACTGGGAAAATCTATTGCTAATGCTTTTATTATAAAGTGCATTTTTATACTTTCATAATGTTCTAACTCTAGTTTGGAGGTTCACTATTTGACCACAGCTGGGACCCACTGATAGATGCTTCTATCCCGGGTCAGGTTGGACCTGGAAACAACGGTAATTAAAAGATGGTTCCACGTTTCTCAAAACTTCCCAATCAGAAGTATTGCTGCCGGATGTAGTTTATCGTCATACCCAGGATAATATAACATTTACGAAAGTGGACATAATGTACTTGTAATTAGACTTTTCTCTCGATTAAATCGTTAATTTTCCGAGCAATGTTGGCCTAAATTTCACGTATGTGTCATGGAAAACATTTAAGATTCATGTTTTTTTTATAGTACAATTTCATTGCTCTGATCTCATTAGGCGGTTTCAATGTATTTTAAATCATCGCCTCAAGATTAGTTCTCTGAGTGATATTTTCTCTTCATTAACAACGTAGATGTGCATTGGATTATTATCGTTGTTGTTGCTGTTGTTGTTTTTATTGTTGTTGTTGTTATTCTTGCTATAAGGAGTTTCGTGCCGCTTGAATATAAAGAATTATCTCCCATGAATAGTGTTTATGTCGAAGTTTCTCATAGAAGCCAATTTATGATTTTTTTCCCCCATGGCCGCTGCAGGTTATCTTTAAGTGGCTGGTGAATATCGCGAAGAAAAAGAGGTTTCTTTCTTTTTACGTTTTGTCCTTCTCTTACACCCCTCTCTGACACATACACAGCTTGTACACCAATAATCTTTTCAAATGCTTCTACAGGTCATGATGATATATTCGAGTTTATCAAAAGTAGTTTCGTTTATTCAGAACTTACAAAATAGGACAAAGCTTATTTCATGTACACAAGTAGAAGGCGAAAGTCTTCACCTTCTTCTTCTTCTTCTTCTTCTTCTTATTATTATTATTATTTATTTTGTCTTTTCTTCGCTATAATCCCATTGTTGGCTCATTACTCGAAACCTAGGGCATGGCAACGTACTAATTATATGCAATCTATTTACACAAATTATAATGTTGTGATAATCAGCATCCAAAGAGTTTATATTTTCTTTATATTGATTATTCATTTCTGAGTAGATGAGCAGTTCCACACAGAATATTTTTAATCGTTTGTAAACAAGGGCTACTAGAGACCTCGTTAACGTTCGTATTTGTACTTTTTTTCATCGTAGACAGGGCTTCAGTTTTTTATTGTCAATTTTAAGGTGGCACGTATTCTAAATTCGTTACAAGATTGTTTACTTATTTTGTTATATACTTGAACTGACATATTTTTTGTCGGTTGGCACTGCCATATATATGTATACGAGCAGGTTGTTTCTTTTCTTTTTTGTAATCTTTAATCAGTATCTGAACTATTAGCTTTTATATGCATACCTGTATGAATGGCAAAGTCGCAAATAATAGTGACCACACGGATTTATATGGTTCATGGTGGCGTTCATAGCATTTATCAGCTGGGCACTTCGACGTGGTGTAATAGCTAGCAAGCTTGACTCGCTAGGTCAATTACGACTGAGTGGTGAGTTCGATTCTCACTGGGTGCCCCACACTTTCGGTTTTTGTGTCACAATTATACTGTGAGAAGAAAGATCCAAGTAGACATAATTTTCCCCCAGTAACTACTCCGTTGAGGAACAAACTCTCTCGAGCTTGCTTCCCTGAACATATCAGTCTTGACCTTTTGAAGTCAAGGATCAATTGTCATCTTACTACCCTTATCCGTATAATCTTCATTTTTCACCGCCTTCTCTTCCATTCATACCACACCTTATTCAGCATTACCATCTTGCTGATTGTAACACTTGACAGAACTTTAATACTTAACTATTAGCACTCTGTCGGTGACTTTCTCTTGCCACTACAATTCACTCTGATTGATGAATAATACTGTGTTTAAATTTCGTAATTGTCTTGTCATGTCTTACTATGGTAACAACGAAAACAACCTTCATTAAAACTGAAATTAAAACAACCTTCATTAAAACTGAAAATGAGTTATATACATTAGAAGCAGAAATAATAGTTGTGAATAATACAGATGCTAAAGGTAAAAAATTCAATTGGAACATGGTTTGATAGAGTGGAAAATTAAAAGGATACTACCCACCTGAAAAGCAGCTTCACGCATGAACTGTTTTGCATTGTCATCCCAAATGGCTGGAACTGTAAGCACCCAGCGCACGGCTTGTGGATGCGGCTCATAACCGAGGTGAGCAGAAACAGCCCTCAAAAAATGGGTCTTCATGAACCACAAAGACTTGGCAAAGACTTCAACGGCAGGTAATGTCTTTCCTTTGGCATCGTCCAGGACAATGTTTGTGTGTAGCTCCTGAAAAGTGAAAGAGAAAGAAAGAGATTTTAACTTCATTGGGGTCCGTTAATTTAACGGTGTTATCCAACATTTCCCACATTTAAATACTTCCCAAATATTGACA